TCTGTAAAGAACAGCTCATAAAATTACCTACCTTATGCAAGTCATGAGCTATACATGAAGGACTCATTTGTGGCAATGTAGGAAGAACACTGGACAGGACTCAGAACACTTGATTCTAGACCGAGCTCTGCCATTAATGTACGTGCAACTTGGAGAAAGTCATTTAACCTTCTTGTTTCTATTACTTTATCAATAAAACCAGAAAATTGTATTAGATCATCAATCATCTGGAACTGTGGAATCTCAACAAAGCTTGTATATTTAGGCCAATTTCATATTCCTAGGATTGCTCCATGCTTATGCTACCCAGAAACTTGCCCTGCCTGCCTTTATTTTTCATACACACACATAGCTACTGCCATATATCACATGCCATTTATTTTTATTTGTACCAATTTACATTAATTTTACTACATATCTATAAATTTTAAGCTTTCATAACAAACTTAGAAAATAGTGGATGAAATCTAATACACCAATCATCTAGTGTTAAAATACTATTATTTTATTATAATTATTCTGGATCCTTTTTTTTTTTTTTTAAGTTACTAACATAACTAAAGTAACAAAACATAACCATCAAACATAACCACTGTCTCACCCCAATGCTATCCACTTCCTGCCTTATCATACTAACAATATCCTGAAGCATATAGAGCTTTTAGTTACTGTTTTTATATTTTATCACACATGTCTATGCCGTTACCAATATAGATAATGTTCTTTGGAGTTTTTAACTTACATAAGTGAGAGTACACTGACCATGTTCTTCAACAGCTTGCTTTTACCTCCCAACTCTGTTTTCAAGATTCATTCATGTTAGTATATTTATAAATTCCATTCATTTATGCACTATTTTATATGAACATATTACAATTTATCTATTCCTTCATTGATAGATATTTACAGGATTTCCAGTTTGCCCCTATTCTAAATAGTGCTCAGGGAATAACCGCTTACATACCTTCTTGTGCACCACAGCAAGAATATAATTAGGGTATTGACCTAGAAGTGAGGTTGCTGTGTCACAAGGCATGTTCATCTTCAGTTGCACCAGATACAACAAAGCAGCAATCCAAAGTGGTTGCACCAATTTAAATGCCTGCCTGCAGGGTACAAGAGCTCCCATTTCCCCGCATCTTGGATGATACATGTGATTTAGACATTCTAATTTTTTTCCAATCCAGTAAGAACGACATGGTAACTCATTACATTCATTTGCATCCACTCCATTGCTATTGAGACTAAGGGCTTTTATTGTTTTTCTTATGTTTCTTGGCCACATGGCCTCATTTTCTGTGAATTGCCTTTCTTATGGTCCTTTCATGGTTACAAGAGCCCTTTAGAAGACTCAGCTTTTAAAGTTGGATTAGGCGTTGGGATTTGAGAGTTTTACACCATGGCCATGCCTCCTTTCCCTAAGTTATCATTAAAACACTCAGCCTCCACAGCTCATATCCATGCATATCACCCAGGTTGTTCCAGCACATTCAGAACTTACTGCTCTTGCTTTGAAAGTCCTGGTAGGTTCCCACTTAGGGGTACCTCCCTCCCTTTCTTTGTCCCTCTCTTCCTTTCTTTAAGGTCAGTCAGACTTCCAACTTCCACATAAACAATTTAAAACTGTATGACAATCTCCCCACTCTCCAAAAGAAAACAACAACCACCACCTTCATAAACAACCTAAAATCCCTGGAAATCCATTGAATTACAAATGAATTTTCATATGATTATCCATTTCATATGGTTATTTCATTATTGAAACATATATATTCATACACAAATAGCAAATTCACAAAGACATAGCTAAAAAGGAAAAGCATAAACAGCATGATTTCCTCAAGTAATTTATAAATCACTAAAAATATTCATCATATTTTTTACTTTATCGAATACTGCCTTCATCCTGTTGGTTATATTGAAGTACATATCAAGAACATATTTAAGTATTGTATGAAATTTGACAGATACTATTAATACAAAGGACCTTCCATTTGGGAAGCAAGAAATCAAACAAAGACAGTGACACTTCCTTTGGAGAGTTATTTTGAAGATTAAATGACATTACTGCCTGCAATTAAGTGCTTGGCATATAGTAGGTACCCAGCAAATGTTAATGTCCCTGTTCTTTTTCACAAGGTAGAGGGAGTAATTAGGTGAACAGCTACACAAAGGCCTAATTCTAATCAGTAAAAAGGAAATGAATGGGACAGTACAATTGACAAATCTCTTGGTAAAAGATAACCACAGAATCTTAAAGTTGATGTTGGCCAAATCGGGAAAAGTTAAGCATTGTATTTTTGACATTGGGAAGCAAATTCCCAAAATATCAGAGAAAAATATAGGTATCAAACCTCTAACAGCAAAAGAAAAAAAGAAAAAAAAAAAAACCTCAAGAACAGAAGACCCTGAAATATGTACTTTGACCTGATAAAAAGTAATGGAGAAGATTTCTAAATACTTAAGAGGTATAGCTAAAATGAAGGAGTAGAAGCTACTAAGAAACAGATTTCAACTCACAGTAAGCATTGTCTAATAATCAGTATAGTTTAAACCGGGAAAGTAGCAGTTTTGGGAGGTAATAAATCTTTAACTTTCAAGCACGGAGGGAACTGAATATTTGGTGCAGGTGTTTGGGAGGACATTTGAGCACTGAATCATTCGTTCCACTTGATCATGAAATTTCCTTTTATTATAAAAGTGTATGAGTCTAGCCTCAGGGGATATTGTTGTGGTGGAAAACAGTATGAAAGAAAAGTATCGCAACTGAGAAAATTCAGCGACAGGGCAAGCTAACCCCCATTAATTCTCTAGCTCTTTAAGAATATTATTATTTTGTCATTTGGAAACAGGAGTTTTAAAAAAGAAAGCTAAAAAAATAGTGTTAACAGCAAATTACATCTGCAGTGTGAAGCTTAGAAGGAATGATTCATCATGTTAGTTAAGAGGGATTTAGAGTATCTTCTTGTCCAATCCACTCAATATATTCGATAAAGAAACTAAAATCAAGAAAAATTTATTGGTCCTAAGTCACTTAGCTAATGACTAAAGCACGACTTCAATCTAAACTTTCAGATTCAACTGTCAAACTGATTTTAAACTTGTTTATATTTTCAGGTAACATGAGAATTAGACTGATAGAACTTTTCTAGAATTGTTCTTTCAAATGGCATTTAAAACTCTAGGTACCGGCCGGTCGCGGTGGCTCACGCCTGTAATCCCAGCACTTTGGGAGGCCGAGACGGGCGGATCACAAGGTCAGGAAATCGAGACCATTCTGGCTAACAAGGTGAAACCCTGTCTCTACTAAAAATACAAAAAATTAGCCGGGTATGGTAGCGGGCGCCTGTAGTCCCAGCTACTCGGGAGCCTGAGGCAGGAGAATGGCATAAACCCGGGAGGCGGGGCTTGCAGTGAGCGGAGATCGCGCCGCCACTGCACTCCAGCCTGGGTGACAGAGCAAAGACTCCGTCTCAAAAAAAAAAAAAAAAACAACAACAACTCTAGGTACCAAGGGTTGAAACAAAGTACACTTTACCAGAGGATAATTATATAGATATTTTTTACTTCTTTTAAGACTTTCCAAATACACAGATCCTTTATTTATCTGATTATGAATCACACCCAGGTGGTAAGATATGGAAATCTTGCAAATATATTGGAAGTCAGGATTTAATCATCTGTGTACTTGTGAACTATTCCAACATTAAATATATTTACACCCACATGAGCTAATCTTATATAATTATCATGCTTGCGTTTAATAGAAAAAAGTTGTGATTCTTTTTCCCCCTGTAATGAGTGTGAACTTATTATGAAAATTTCATGTGCTTTTTTAGTGTTTAATTTTGCAATAATTTTATATTCAATTACTTACAAAATACACACAAAGACTACTTATGGAATACTGAAATGTATAATGGGGAAAAGTGATTATGAAATACAAATGTAAAAACCTTTATCTATAGTATGACCTGAAAAACATAAAATATCAACAAAAATCCATAGATAAAAGATAAAAGATAAAACCAAAACGTTAACAGTATGAGATTATCTTCTCTACTGTTTTTTCAGATTTTCTGTAATGATCATGTATTTTACAGCAATAACAAAAATCTTACATTTTAAACATGAAAATGAATCTAAAAACAAAATTATATGAAAATCTAGTTTTCAGAATTAAATAATCCATTCTCCACCTGAAATGGATAAAATTCATTAGAACATAAGATACTATTTGATATATACAAATAAATTCATAAATGTTACTGGATGCTTCTACAGAGCATTGTAAATAAATAGGCATATGTCCCCTTAAGCAGTCAGTGATAAGTAACTGAATGTTCTCATCGAGTTCCAAATGAATAGGAATGCTGAATGTTGGCTGCTTTAATGTTAATGTAATACCTGGCATTAAGAAATTTACTCACCATATGCTTTTCTTTTCCTTCCCAGCTTCCTGTGCATCTATTTGAATCACAACGAAAGTTTCTGGACTTTATTCAGCATGAATCCAGCTGGAAACTAATATGCAACTTATATGAACATTAAATTTACAATGGTTTATCTGAAAGGAGAAATATAATGACTTGGTTTATAGAGGACTTTGTCAAGTCATAGGTAGCTTGGTTTTTCAAATTGCTGCTTTTGTCCAATTTTGCCAGTTGAAACTGGTCTTTCAGATACAGCAATGGTTTTTTCCTAAAGAAATTCTGCCAACATTAAAGAGGTTTTCTCCATTATAACTAAACTGAACAAGACAGAAAGCTTATGGCACAAACTAAAACTGGCTCTCGACCTGCAGTTGTGTCATGTTGTTTTCTGAACATTTAAAAAATGTACTTATTGAAATATATGCTTGTTCCAGCCGCCCAAAACCACAGCTGCAGTAAGGCCCAAAACCAGACTGAGTAGCAGGAGAGTTCCCACAAGGGACTGCCCCAAACCAACCTAAGATGGGACCAGTTGGGATTTCGAAGAAGGAAACACTAAACACCGAGTGGTAAGTCCAAAGTCTTTATTAGTACTATACACATTGTGTGCTGCATTAGTCCTCATGATTGACAGGGAGAAATGAGACGTTCTAACCTGTGGAACCATAGGGGAGCCATATGGGGAATCAGATATGGAGTTTATATGGGAGCTTAAGGAATTGGGTTCAGGGTTGGGGCTAGTATTTATGTGTTTAACAACATGTTTGATGTTTCAGTGTTTCAGGCACTCTAAACAAGTTTATCCGTGCCTGGGAACACTCAAGGGCGTGGCTTGGGTTCAAGTCTGCAGAAAACATGGCCCCGACACAGAGCAGTCAAAAGCACTCTGTGTTTCTGAGTCAGGAAAAAGCAAGCAGAGGGAACAACACTAATTTGAAGTATATTTACGAATGTTACCCTCCCATGAGACGATGCAATTTAAAAATAAACACCTATTTCTCAAAGAAAACTTTACAGTGCTCAGAAATAAGTATGACATCAGCACCTTGAAAATTCTGTGCAAAATATAAAAACAAGATATTATGTGCAGTAGTAATTAATAGACATACATTTCCACTGGTTATCCACTGACATATTACCAATCTGCATTGAAAATATCTGCTGAGCAGCAAATTGTGCAAAGATCAGTAAAAACAGTATAGATTGGGTACCCACTGGTGTCCTGAATAAGTATGAAGAGGATTCCTAAATGTCTAGTTTAATAACCCATTTCCTTCCCTAATACTGTCCTTATTTTTAAGCTCCTACATTCAATTAAAATATATCCTTATTTATCCTTTTCTCCACACTACTTCCATTGTTTCTCAGCATGGGTATATTTCAATTTGCCCTTACTGGTGATGGCAGAGTAATGGTGTCAAAGTTTCCAAAGAGATTAATTCTAAATATTTTTTTCTCATTTTCCGTTTGGTTAATTCTCTCTTCAGTTGTCTTGTTAGCAGACTCACTCTATGGGCTCTATAGGTTCCCTCTGGCAAGCTGCCAGGTTGTAAATTGCCCTAATGGAGAGGTCCATGGGACAAGGAACTGAAGAGTGCTTTCATCCAACAGCCAGGAAGCTACTGAGGTCCTCAGTCCAAGAACCTGCTAGCAAGTACATAAATCTGAAGCAGATCCTTCCCCAGCTCAGCCTCCAGAAGAGACTACCCCAACCAATGCTTTGATTGCAGCCTAAAGCAGGGAACCCACTTAAGCCATGCTTGGATTCCTCACCAACAAAAACTGAGATAATAAACGTATGTTAAGTCAGTAAGTTTGAGCAATATGTTGCACAGCAATAGATAACTAACACATTTGGAGTTCTTAATTTTTACTGTTTAGTTTTTCTAGTTTTCAAATTTATATATATATATATATATATTTTTTTCACAAATCTGCAGTGACTGTTTTATAGTTTCCAATTCTATATGGAAATTTTCCATCTTTTATCTCCTTGAATACAGTCTTAAAGTCTATCTCACAATGCAATTATTTGGTGCCCCTTTGGGTCTACTGTTTCTGCCAGTTTTCATTCCGTCTTTCTCCTCCTGTATCCAGGATATGTGGAGATACTGTATTTGAAAAAGTACCCAAATAATTTGAGGCCTAGGAAAATATTGTTCCTCCAGGCTTGTATCTTTCAGGTTCCTAGGGGCATTAGAAACCTAAGGTCACCTTAGTCTACTTCTAAAATCTCACAATTTACTAAGCCACCTTGATGATTTGATTTTAAACTACACTCGATGTGAATGGTCTACTTCTGTTTCACCATTATCCCTAGGATGCTGTCCTTCAGGGTCTCTAACCAAAAATTTCTACCGGAGTCACAACCTTGGAGGTCTTATACTTTTAACTTTCATCCATCTAGTCTCCCAAGGTATTAAAACACTACACGTTTTCAGACTCTTCTTGGCTAACAATTCTCCCCTCCAGAGCAAAAGCAGGCCCAATAGCAAGTTCAACTTTTGGGATTTCCATTTTATTTAATACATCAGCCTGGCAATTAATCATCACCTTTCTAACACATTCAAGCAGATGTTTGTTGTGATCTGTAATCAGGTGTTAGACCAGGAAGATTGAACCAAATAATCTAGCATAAAGTAGAAATTGAAAGCAGAAGTTCAAGAGTTTTTGTTGTTGTTGTCTGTTCTTTGGTAAGTCACCTCACAGCTTATTAGCCAGCCTGTGTTTGAACCACTATTTGGGCACCTTCTCTATTCTAATAAAGCCTCATCCCTGCACAAGCATCCTAACCATTTTTCTCAAATGGAGAGAGGGGTGCTATAAACAACCCAATTTAGTCTAGAAAGGGAAACTAAATATTTTGTGTAACATCCAAATACTTTCTGGTTGCCAATTTTGGTTCTAGAGAAATGGACAAAATTTCTCCAAACCTCAGGCCAGGCACAGTAGCTCACACCTATAATCCTAGCACTTTGGGAGACCAGGTAGGCGGCTCACTTGAGGTCAGGAGTTCATGACCAGCCTGGCCAACATGGTGAAACCCCATTTACCAAAAATACAAAAATTAGCCGGACATGATGGCTCCCAACTACTCGGGAGGCTGAGGCTTGAACCCAGGAGGTGGAGGCTGCAGTGAGCCAAAATCCACAGTACTTGAGCCTGGGCAACAGAGTCAGACTCAGTACTTTAAAGGAAAAAAAGAAAAAAAATTCTCCCAACTTCATAAGTAAACTGCCTAAACAAATCAGGATTCATTTTACCATTCATTTAGCAGAAGAGTAAGGTACCAGAAGTTCATGTATTTCACCAGATAACTTTATCACCCTCCAACCCAAAGACTAGAGGTTTTAATTATCTCAAATGAACTTGAATTCTTTGGAACTTATGATTATCATAATATCTCTTCTTAGAAAAGTGAGATTTCTAAAACCTAGTAAGTAATCATAAAGGTATAATTTTGCCACTAATAATGCAAGTTCTTAACAGCTGTCTTGGCCTCACGGGTCATAAACTAACAGCCTCAGTAACAAAATATTTAATATAAATTAGTGAGACAGGCCCAATGATGTGGGCCAAGAGAGGAGAAATGAGAAGTGGTAGGAACTGTGGCCAATTGGAGAGAGTATGCACGTCTAAAGGGACTCAGAGCAGGTAATTCCAGCCCCTGTATATTGTTAACATGTAAGAACATAAACCCAGAGTTGCCAGATCTTCCAGTTTTTCAAGAGAATCTGGAATAATGAATGTTCTATGATTCTCTTGTTAAATATTGACAATTAATTAAAAAACAAACAAAAGACATTGCATAGGGTAACAATGAATGGCACAAACAAAGCTCAATTATCTCTGATGCTCCTTTCAGTTTTAAATCCTGCTCACCTTGTTTATTAGTACTATTAATAATGACTCAGAGAAAACTCTTGAGAGTCTTAAAAAGATCCTAATAAAAGTGCTCATAACATAAATATTATAAATAAAAGTCAGGTTTCACATGAACTGGAGACACAAAGAAATACTTTGTAAGTAGCTAAACCTCATGTAAGCTTTCATTTTCCTAAGGTTAAGATAGCTTTTAGTAATTCAAACCAAGAATTAAAATCAAAACTAAAAATCTAGCTAGTTCATTTATAAAGCTTATTGACCATTTGGGTGCATATTGCTGCAGTATATATTTCTACAGTATGAATAAGGCCATCATAATATTAAACCTCAGACTTCTGCACAAACTATTATAGAAGACTCAAAAGCCAGTTTCAAGTGTCAAACACTATAAAAATGTTACCAAGTGAAATGTGCAATTCTGTTGGATGACAAAGAATACAAAAGACAATCAAAATCTGAAACAGAATTCAGTATTTCTCACAAAGGACAAGAACAGAACTGTGATTGAGAAATGGAGATTAATCTGTACTAAAAAGAATGGCTTACAGCCCGGGTCTCCAACCCGATATAAGCCATAATCACAGATGTTTATTTGCACAGTAGCTGTTGCCGAATTTCAGTCTACCATGTGCTTATTATTCACCAAAACAGTAATCATATCTATACCTTTGAAATATTACCTATAAATTCTTGCTCCTTATGAAATCTCTTAATCTTCCCTGATTATTTTTTATTGCTATTGTTGTCTGTCTTTACAAAATCTCCTTACCAAACTTTGGGGAACAAAGGCCTTTCAGGTTGAAAAATTCAAACTGTCCAATCAAGTATTGGCCAATATTAATGTTGTAAACCTGTAGGTCTCTTTGTATCTATTCTCAATATTCTCCATGGCAATTTTTCTCACTAGTGCCTTGCTCTTTTCTTTCTCCTGCCTCTATCCAAAGCCACAATTTTACCAATTTCTCTAATAATTTTTACAATTATCCTACCTAAACATGTTTTATGTGAATTAACCTTACCTTTTATTTAATGTAAGCATTACACAACGTACACTAGAACTTAATATAAAGTGCAACGGGCATAGTAATTTTAACTATATTGGTTGTCTTAGTATATTTGGGCTACAATAACAAAATTCCATTAACTGAACAGCTTATAAACAGCAGAAATTTGTTTCTCACAGTTCTGGAGGCTAGAAAGTCCAAGATCAAGGCACCAGCAGATTCAGTATTTGGTGAGGATCATAGATCCTCAGTGTTTGGTCTGGCTCATAGATGGTGCCTTCTCACCATGTTCTCACAGGGTATAAGGGATGAAAAAATTCCCTTGGGTCTATTTTATAAGGGCACTAATTCCATTCATGAAGGTGCTGCCCTGCTCCAGTCACCTTCCAAAAGGCCTTACCTCCTAATACTATAGTCATGGGGATTAGGATTTCAATGTAAATTTTTGAAAAACCCAAATATTAAGACCTAGGTACTGGTCTATTAAAATATCTCATTAAAAAATCTAAAGCCCTCTTGCCTAGTATCTAAGTTTTCCATTTCCAGAGATGAGTAAGCTAAAATACATGTATAATGAAACTTACATAAATTTCTTTAAATAACATTTTCTTAAATAACAAATGTAATCATGAAATGTTTTTTCAAATACAATATAATTTCATAATGAATTTGCTTATAATTAAGTGGAATTTGATACATGTTGATGGTTCCATATTAGAGTCCACTCAACTAGTTTCTTAAAATACTTTCTGATTATAAAAATAATGTTCTCGCATTCTGGGGGGTAATTATGAAAATTAGGTAATTAGAGGGAAAAATTGAGCATAATCTTAATCACACAGTCTGTTTAGTTATAATGCTGATGCTTATCATTCAGATACAAAAGACAAAGTTGAAACCAAACTAAATTTGAATGTGCTTACAAATATATTTAAATCCACGGAATTTGATAAAATCATCTAGGGAGAGTGTGGTTAAACAAAAATGGAGTCTAGAAAAGAAAAAAAAAGTACATCAATATTTGAAGAAAAGTGAGAGGAAGAACAGCAAAGAGAAATATGACAGAATAGCCAATAAGATAGAAGGCAAACCAAGAACATGTTTCACTGAAGGCAATAAAAAGACTACTTTAAGAACGAAGGAGTGGTCAACCATGCAAAATGTGTCAGACCTTACTGAGTACAATACAGAAAACTGTCTAGTGGATTTTGCTGTGTAGGGACTAATGGCTACCCATTTGATAAGCAGTTTCAGAAGAACCCAAATCAGATTGGTTATATACACCTCATGAGAATCAGATGAAAAATTATTGGCTTTAATGAACAACTTAAATTGGTCTGATCTTTTACAAAATAAATATATAGCTATCAGTATCACCTATATAAAGCCACTTTTAAAAACTATAAAGAAGTATAAAATTGGAAAGAAAATCCATTTCCAACTACACAAAAATGTAGGCATACATAGGAAATGCATGGAGATAAAAGAAACTCTAAACTTTGCTGAGAAATAAAAGATGTAAATACGCCAGGTACAGTGGCTCACACCTGTAATCCCAGCACTTCGGGAGGTCGAGGTGGGTGGATCACCTGAGGTCAGGAGTTCAAGACTAGCCTAACCAACATGGTGAAACACCGTCTCTATTAAATACAAAAAATTATCCAGGCATGATGGTGCATGCCTGTAATTAATTCCAGCTACTTGGGAGGCTGAGGCAGGAGAGTCACTTAAACCCAGGACATGGAGGTGACAGTGAGCCGAGACTGTGCCATTGCACTTTAGCCTGGGCAACAAGAGCAAAAACTCTGTTTCAAAAAAAAAAAAATAAAATAAAAGCAGGTAAATAAGAAGATATACCAGATCTTAAACTAAAAAGGTTGACTACCTTAAATTCATTAATTCACATCCATTCAACCAACATTTATTGATTTCTTACTTCTATGAATCTAGGCACTTGGAATGGATTAGCAAATAAAGCATGTAAAGTTCAAAGCTTAGAGTACTTTGATTTCAATGGGGTTATCCCTTACGTTTCACCATTATACTGTCCTATTAATATCTATCTTTTCTTTTAAAACCAAGATTGAGAATTCTATCAAAGCCTTCTTTCTCCTTTGAACAACTAATGTTCTGTATTAGCATTACTTCCTAACATTAGTCCATTACTGAATTGATTTTCTACCCTGCTGTAGTGGGTTCTTCTGTTTGTTTTGAGACAGAGTCTTGCTCTGTCGCCCAGGCTGGAATGCAGTGGCACAATCTCAGTTCACTACAAACTCTGCCTCCCGGGTTCCAGCAATTCTTGCACCTCAGCCTCCGGAGTAGCTGGGATTACAGACATGCACCATCAGGCCAGGCTAATTTTTGTATTTTTAGTAGAGATGGGGTTTTGCCATGTTGCCCAGGCTGGTCTCAAACTCCTGGACTCAAGTGATCCACCCACCTTGGCCTCCCAAAGTGCTGGGATTACAGGCATGAGTCATTGCACCTGGCTGCAGGGGGTTCTTTTAATTACTGAATTCAGTATGTTAGTATTTTATTTGGGATTTCTGCATTTATATTAAAATGTGCATTTAATAGCTCAATAACTCAATTTGTCTTATCAGTTAGCAATACACAAATGCAATTATTTTTAAATCAATAAAAGGTAACTAAAATTAAATCTTTCAGTGACAAATTTCAGCAGAGTAAGAGATCTAACAACAGGCTGACATAAGAAATATTTGTCTCAAAAATCAATGTATTTAATAGTTGACAGTTACAAATCTCATTACTGTTCCTTCAGTAAAATTTATTCCCAAAGTTCTCAATCAAGTATGTTTTTTCAGTTTTCCAACAGCTGTGCTCTTTCTTCTTTTGGTCTATTCAGTAGAAAGTGAACTATCTGAAGTAGAACATCATCATTAAAACCCTTCACATCATTATCCTCAATTGTTTCATAAAGAGGCTTACTTTGTGTACCCCAACATATATTTTTACGAGGGTTATTTTGATCAGCTTGTGTAGTCAGTGCCAAAGTATTTAGCTGGTAGCAGAAAAAGGAAAAGTATTTTCCATCTGTAATCACAGCCTGGGAGACAAAAGGTCGAGTAACATCTGCTTCACTCCAGAATCCTGTAGAAGAAAGTTATGCTGAAATTTACGTACAGAATATATCTTACCCAAACAAAACAAACACATTAGACATTAGAGGGTATCAAATACCTCCTACAACTTAGATACTTTATGTAACAAAATCCCTGAAGACCTCAAAGTTTCCTTATCATCTCCATTCTAACCCTGTATTTCATTTCTGCACAAATAATAATTTCCTCCCTTCTAGTATCCTCAATCACATGATTAATCTTTTTCAACAATGTCAGCCTTATTTGCTTCATCTAAGAGCAGCAAGCTCTATCTATGCAGATGCCTTCTACATCTGGTACTATGTCATTACCCAACTACCAAGCAGTAACTTTATTTCTCCACACGTATCTTACGTCATCTTTAAGGGAGATAGCAAATGAATAATACTGTTAATATACGGAATTAATTTTATTGTAAAAGGAAGTACTTTATCTTTCAAAAATAAACAGTGCCATTCTACCATCTTCAAGGTTACTTCTTACTTATGTCTAATTCCGTCTACTCCTACTCCCACTTTCTCTATTCAATTCTGTTATAGAAATCAAAGTGGATTTTGAGTGTAACGTTAAAATACATATATACGTTAAAAAAAAACATGTATTACATTACTTCAGGTTTTAGAATACAATCCAAATGCCCCACAATGAGCTCTAATAGTCCTGTAAGATATAGCCTTTGGCTTCTGCTATGTCCTTCTACATCATTCTCCTTGTCCCACTCTTCATTACCCTTCATGTTGTTCCTAAATATTTCAGGCCTGTTCCCACCTCAGGGACTTTTTTACTTGCTGCTCCTTTTGCCTGGAAGTGTCTTCCTCCAGATTTGTGCACAGGCAGCTCCTCGCCATTCAGGTCTTAGGAGAAGTCATTTTTAGAGACCTCCCCTGAATGACTTTTATAAAATAAATTCTTCTCCATACCTCATTTATACCTGCCCCCCTATAAATCATTCTACTCTTTATGCTAAAGTATTTTCCCCATAGTATTACCACTAGTTATAAATATTACATGCTTATTACTTTTACCACCACCCCCCTACCCCACTATAATATAAGCTCTAAGAAAGCAGGATCTGTTTCACTCAACACTGCATCTTGAACAGAGTATAGCATATAAGAAAGCAGTTACTGTTTACTGAATGAACAATCTCCTAATTCAAATCCTGGATATAACCTTTAAAGAAATTATATAGGATAGCCATTGATTTAATATAAATATTTAATCCACAAAATCATTACCTTTTCTACCTTCTGAAAGCTATTATCATCTAGAAAGGGTTGACTTAGTTGGCTACAGTCTTTAAAATGCGTGCAAAAGTACATTCACACAGGAGATGGTCAAAGTAAAAGATAAAAACAATTACCTCAGTGTCAGATTTCAACTGTATAGTATTTAAACATGGATTTTAAAACAACTGTACTTTGGGCCAATGTAAAAGTTTAAAGATGTTAAGATTCAACCTATGTTTCAACCCAAAGAAAACAATTTTAACCATTATATTCTTAGAATGTTACAAATATCTTCAAAGAAAATGCTATAAAATTAGTTTTTACCTTGATACATAGCTTGTGCTCCAGTCCAAGCAAAAAGGCTTGCAATAGCATTAGCTCTAAAAACAACTTCTATCTGATCAGCACAATTTTGTCTCAAAAGTCTTTCCCTTCTTAATTTGTTAGGTAACAGATGAAACTGGGTGTGACCGTAACAGCAAGGATCTGCAGTTTTTGAGCCTGAAGACCAAAGAAAAACATTTCAGATGAAACAAACATGTAGAACATCTGGAGCACATGTTTCAGTATTTGCGCCTTTTTTTTCCTTCTTCATACATCATATTCTAAGTACTCTAAATACATAAGTAGGAATATTAATATACTTATATATCATATGGATCATAATAAAATTAAATTTCACAGAAAAGCATAATTTCTCAATCTGCTAGCTATCATAAAGCCCATCAAAACAAGGAAGAAGTTGAAAGAATATATAGAAAAGTTACTTAAAATTTCTATTATCTGTTTTCTCAAATCCTTTAGTCATGATTAGCTATGGTTGTCTCCTTGTCATATTAACCAAGAGGATACAACTACTTCAAGACTCTAAAAACTTATTTAATGAAATAATTACACACTTTGCTCCTAATTTTTAAAAATTATTTTTACACTACTTTTCTAAGTAAAAAAAAATAAGTAGCAACATTTCATGGAATGCTGACATTCTTGATCTTAGTGGTAAAGTCTTTTCAACAAAGTGTTCCTTGCAGGTCACTACCTAAGACCGCAGTGACTGAGAAGAGGCTGATAAAATAGGTCTGGAGGGCTGGTATAAAACCTTCTTAAGACTTCTTCACATTGGGTAGGAATTAACAAAGGAAGAAAAAATGGCAAAATAAGCTGCACGAGGGATGGCAGACATCAGGCATTATGAATCTGTGAATTCCTGATCTTACCACCATCCATGGTGCAAATAGAACACTTAAAAAACTCAACTGCTATCTCAAGTCCGGTTCTAAAAGTTTTTACTTTAAAAAAAACACAAATTTATTTTTCTATCTAATAAGTCAACAAAGCCTATTTTCTAAAGTTAAATACTGCTATTTCGGTAGAAACAAGTAAAATTTCAAATAACAAACTTAAACAATATTTTCTTTCCAGTGTTTATGCATGTTGCAGTAACCTGAGATTATGAATTATATTGCTCATGGACTATGTAAACCTCTCGGTAATCAAGAATTAATTCCTCATTGTAGTCAATACTCCAAATTCGCATAGGACACTCTGAGATTATGAATTATATTGCTCACGGACTATGTAAACCTCTCAGTAATCAAGAATTAACTCTTCATTGTAGTCAATACTCCAAATTCGCATAGGACACTTTGAACACATTTATAGTACAATATGTCAAAAGAGAAACTTACCAACAAATATACGGTTTTCATACTGCCGTTTGAATAATGGAAGTTTGTCTGGTTTACATTTTATAGTGGGGATTTCTATAGGAACAGAATAATCCAATGGCACAAACTTAAAGAAAAAGAAAACACATACTAAATTCACAGCAACATTAGTATGTATTTTACTCACACTCATTAGATTTAAAAATCTTAAAATGAGGCGGTTTCACAAAATGATTTGATAATACTATCATTGAATGATGGGCTAAATCCAGTAAGCCACCTGTTTTTACAGGTAAAGTTTTACTGGAAGAAAGCCCACACAAACTCATTTATAAATTGTGTATGGCACTCTGCACTGTAAGAGCAGAGCTGAACACTTGCAACAGAGATTTACAGCTTGTACAGCCTAAAATATTAACTATCCAGATCTTTACAGAAAAAGTATGTCAACTCTGACACGAAAGCATAGACAATACTCAAAATATACTTTCCTCCAAAAGAACTGCAAATATGTAAAATGGCCCAGCTGATAAGTGTTAAACTTCCTTGATTTATGACTAGCTAGTGCAGTCTAGTAAATTACAATCATAAACTATTTCAGAATTTTTATATTAAGAGAAACATACAGATCTGTATGGTCCGGCAAAATGACACCTTAACCTGTTTTTGTTAAAATGATTATCTGACCTTTATGGTGTATACCGTAGCAGATTACATAAGCTAAAAAGATTTTTGAGATGTGATGTCTTCAAAAAGGAAACTTGAAAGGCAAGAGATCCATCTGAAACATTTTATTCTACTATTACTTAACCTGCCTATGACAGATCCTACGTGAGATATCAACAGATACATAATCACAAAAAATCCTTACCTCTGCGAGTTGCTTGGATATTCGAACCTGGTTGTTTGGTTTATCATCTATCTGGTATCGCAAGTTATCAATTCGACCTTTTCGATGACCACGAGGAATAATTTCTTCACCACGCACCCAGTAAAAATGAACTGGGCGTCTATAATCTATCAAAAAGATATTCAAAATTTTTTTCATCTGATCATCTAAATAAATTTGGTTACTATTAGAACACTAAAGAGTACTAACTTAGCAAATGATAACTTAAGAATGATGGAAGTAAGAGTCTGGGTTATGTGACAATTTAACTATTATGACTTAAATATAACATTCAAACTTCTATTGTCTATTTGTGCCATCATTACTCCGAACATTAACCAAAGAGATTTCTCATGAGGAGTAATAAAAGAAAATAAGACTAACAAGAGTATCATTCACCATAAACAAAAATAGGACTATTTTATGAACTACCAATTCAATTTTCACAATAACTCCCAAAGGTATGTATACTTTTCATTATCTCCATTTTATAGAAGAGGAACCTAGGTCTTGACAAAGTTAAATAGGTTTTCTAGGCCATCCATCAGGAGTAGTCTAAGTTCATGACGCTTTCCTCAAGACTTCTTTCTTAACTGGAGAAGGGAAAAAACATGTACACAGCAAGGCTAGGTTGAGCACACATCTACAGTCCTAACATTACTTCAATATTAAGACATCCACTTCGTAGAAGATATAAAATGATGAATGCGTCAAAAACAATAATTTTTAAAATTATCTATATGTTAATTACTTTTCATGTCCGCCCTGAGCGGTTACACAGAAGCTGCTGATTGTTTACTAGGAACTTGGAATGGGGGTTTGAAGTTTGACCCCCCACCCCGCGCCAATCTATTAGCTATAGGGTCCTCAGGCAGACACATTTAACGTTTCTATGCCTCAGTTTGTTACGTTTTGGTCTTTTTTGCATTTACCAAAACATTGCTACCTATCGTGAACGGTTATTGTGAGGATTAATAAGTTGGCACATATAAAATTCAGAACAGGGCCTAGCACATAAATACTCAGTAAACGTTAGGTATCTTAGTTAATATTTCATTTAATCTTCACAATTCTACGACGAAGAACCACTACCGTAAAATGCGAAAAATTAAGCAAAAAAGAAGTTACTAAAGAAAAAGAAAAGGCACACTAAATTTAAAATTAAGCTAAAAAGAATACTACTCAGCCGTGTGACACACCGTCACACAGCTTTCTGGTGGAACAGCCAAAAGGAAACCTGGCCCGCCCCACTCTCTTAAGTGGCGTTTTTCTTCGTCACCACTGCTCTTCCATTCGGCTTAACCCTCACAAAGTAGAGTCCAGGACTGGAATCCTGGAGAGCTCAGGCTACCAGAGTTGAAGAGCTGGTAGGTGTTAGCGCAGCCACAAACACGTAGTCTCTAGATTCCTAACGCAGTGACTGTTACAAAACTAGGTCACCCCAGATAGGAACGAAAGAACTAGGAAAACAAGAAGGAAGCAGAGAGAAAGCAATGACGTGGGGTAAATCTGCGGCGGAGTAACCCAGTACAACCCCCATCTCTCCCTTCCGCCCTGGGGAATCCAAGGCTCACCGAGGGCGGCGGCGGCCAGGGCCGGGTTGTGTGGGCTGAGGAAGCCCACGAGGGTTGCCACTAGCTGATCCAGGAAGGGCAAAGATATGACCTCGCTCTCCTCGTAACGATGCACGCGCCGTTTACGCCGCAGGTAAAAGTGCTCCTGCAGCAGGCAGTCGCAGGCGACGGCACGCAGCGCCGCGAGGTCCAGCGCGGGTTTGGGTTCCGGCTCGGGCTCCGCGGGGGTCGGCGGCAGACCCGACAGGAACACGGTCTTGGTGAAGTACTGGTACCAGCGGTCAGCGTTCAGCGCGAAGGTCTGCGGGTAAACCATGTACTTCATAAACTGCATCTTGGTGAGAATTCGCAGCTTCTCGTCTACCGACTCCGCAGCGTGCACCGTCGCCTGCCAGCGTTCGATTCGCCGCAGCCGTGCCGCCTTGCTGTCGGCTGTCATAGAGGCCACAATCGGCGGGTACCGCGCGACGGGGGTCGCCGCGACATCTTGGCAGGTCGTTTCTGTAGCCGTGGCGGCGGCATTAGCTGCGGTGTGCAATGAAAGGCTCGGACCGCGAAGCATAGGCCTCCACCACCTGGCCGCCGCCATGTTTACCCGCGGTTCCGGACCCAGAGGTCGACCTAAACAATTGTCCCTCTCTTGCTGTAGGGGCCAATAGGAAAGCGTAATCTGAGCCAGTCTAGGAAAGGCAGAGTCTCAGTGGGCGTGGGTTATGTTGCGTCATTCATGGTTTAGCCAATCATATAACTTCTCCAGTCGCGGTTTCCTGCGTTTGTAGATGGAAGGAAGAGCTTGTGTGCTTAGGCCTTACGCTGGTGGGAGATGCTGCCACCTAGGTTACTTGTAGGACCCTATAGGGCAACCTCCCTTTCCAGGAACTGGTTGGGAACGTCTTGCAGGAAAATGGCAGGCCCTTGGTTAAACGTATTGGCTTCATTTGTGTGTCTCACAACACTTCTTTTCAGTTTTAGTTCTAGGAATAGAAACTTATTTTTGAAAATACATTGCTAGCATGTTTTTCAGTATACTTGATTATATTTAAAAATTATGCGAGCATCACTCGTGACCTACTACTAATCTTTGGGAAAATAATTCTATATATTTATCTGTGCTTAAGTACAGATAATTTGTTTAATGATATTTATTTTGAAAGAGGGGCGTATTTTTACTTGGATTTAACTGGGGAAGACAGAAAAAGGAAATAAAACTATTAAAGAATTGTGTTTAAATTTTGCCTTGTGTTAAAACCATTATAATTTCAACACGAGTTGTTCTTACTAATCTGTGAGCCTCTTAAAAAGGGACTGATTTAATTTTTAATATTAAGCAACAAATCAATACCTGTGCATAATGGGTGCTCAGTAAATATATGCTAAAAAAAATCACCAAAATCTCATCTTATTTTGGGTAATCTAATTTATTGATTCACTCTTCTATAATTAGGAACTAGAATATTAATTTGGATTTGTTGTAATAATTCTTTAGAGTATTAAAACCCAAATGTCTTGTTGCTAAAAAGAATTTATAACTATATTTTTAAGTCAAAACAGATGGTACGGTTTAACTTTGAAACTGCAAGTCTATTAAACTGACCTTTAGAAGTAAAATACAATACTTCAGTTTCATTAGTAATATCTTCAGTGAGAAGTTGCTAATGGAATCTAAAATATCCGTTCTACGTTATTAACAAAAGGAGGACATGAAAACTTGAGATCTTAAAAACCGATATTTAATATTTAAAGAGTAAAAGTGAGGTACTCAATGTTATCTAAGTCAAAGTGACAGTTTTTCGTGTAAATAAGTAATAAATATGCTGCTTGAGAATGTACCATAGAAATCCTAGGTTGATATTTTTTAAATACTTATAGTATTACAGCATTGATTTTAGGATTAGAAATTAGAGCTAGAGACCAATTAACACCAAAAGACGTAATCCTGTCAGACAGTGCCTTTATGGCTTTTTGTGAGTGAATCAAAATAACTTCAATTTATTCAATACTTACTGGTTATCAACATTATGAACCAAGGAATGAGGCTGTGGGAAAGAAAGTATACTTAATGAAGGATGGAGCAGTCTGGGCCAGAGGAAAGGTCGAGTAAGACTAGCAATGAACAGAACAGCCTATCTATGAGAAAGGACTGAGTCAGAGTCATGGAAAGAAGGCTATCTAATATAGTCCAAAGATTTTATGTTACACACAAGGAAACAGACATAAAGCCAAAGTAATATAGCATGGTAGGGGCAGTATTGAGACTGGAACCCAAGCTGCTGGCCTCTCAGTCAGTTTTACTTAATGGATTTTATTGAGTGTCTTTTATATGTTAGGCAGTGATCCAAGTGCTCAGGATAGTTAATGAACCAAGCAAACAAAAGTTTGCACTCTAACAGGGAGACAGACAATAAAATATAATCATAGTAGTAAATTATATGATGTGTTAGAAGGGGATAAGCACACAGGGGAAAAAAAAACAGCTGGAGAAGTGAAGATCATCAGAGCAGTGTATTTGGTGGGGGTAGGGGCAGGTGAGGAGTGTTGTTTGCAATGCTTATTGAAAGGAAAACATTCATCTAGCAAAGGTTTGAAGGAAGTGAGGAGTGAACCATACCAGTATCAGTGAACGTTGTTCTAGAAAGAGCAGCTAGTATAGGGCCGTGAGATGGAAACATGCCTGATGCGTTCAAGAATTAGGTAATTGGCCAGTGTGGTTGAAAGGAATGATGGGTGGGGAACGTAGTAGGAAATGGGGCTAGAAAGGAAAAGAGCCAGAAACTAAAGGCTCCTAAAGGCAATTGCTAGGATTAAGACTGGAGAGCCATTGGAGAGTTCTACTCAGAAGACCGTCATGGTGTGACTTAGGTTTTTAAAAGAATTTCTCAGCATATTAGTTGGCTTGGGCTTCCACAACAAAATGCTACATACTGGGTGACTTGAACAACAGACATTTATTTTCTTATATTCTGGAAGCTAGAAGTCCAAGATGAGCATGCCAATATGATCAGAATCTGGTGAGGACTTTCTTCCTGACTTGCAGACAGCTACCTTCTCCTTGTGTCCTCATAGGGTGATGAGAAAACAACCTCTTTGGTGTTTCTTCTCATAAGGGCCCTTGCCTTGTGACCTCATTAAATCTGAGTTAGTTCCATAATGTCCCTATCTCACATTAGGGGTTAGGGTTTCAGCATATGAATTTAGTAGGGAGACAATCCAGTCCATTGCATTGTAGCTGATTTGGAAATAAAGATTGTGGCAGGTCAAATTTGGAAGAGGGAAACCAGTTAGCAGACAATTGGCCATATTTTAGGCAAGAACTTATTGTGGCTTAAAGGGGTAATAGCAGTGGAGACAGTGGGAAGCAATGAGAAAAAGATGATTTGAGAAAGACTCTGAAATTTGGGATCCGAGCAGTCAGATGAGGGAAAAAGGCCCATGGACACAGTGTGTTTACCTTTTTGTTAATCTCTCATTTTTTTAGGGGAGAGTGGCAGAGAGAGTGGGTTGAGGTTTAGAGAAGGGAATGGGAGAATTTGTAAAGCATATGCTTATCTATTTGTATATGTTTATGTTTAAATTCTACTGGAAGAAAATTGATGTTAAGATCTTTCCTGTTAATGTTTCCATTGATCTTTGATTTAAAGTATTACAATTCAAAACAGTCAAGCCATGACATTCTCCAATGCTTTTTGAACCCTCTCGACATCATTCATTGAACAGGTATTTAAGTGACTGGTGTATACCAATACTGTTCTAGGTGCAGAAAATACTGCAATAAAATAAAGGCCTTCATGGAGTTTACATGCTAATGGGTGAAGTAATCTAGCCAAATATATCACATATACATATTCCAAATAAAATAGTACTAGGAGCCAAGAAGAAAAATGAAGCAGGAAAGGAGACTGAATAGTGTTAGACATAGGAGTTGAGTGGAATAGTTTCAATAAACTAATCACACAAGGCCTTCCTGAGAAGATGACATTTGAGTAACACTTGAAGGGGATAAAGGATGGAGCCATGTGGTGGGAGACACGTCTGGTGGGAGGGAGGAAGATTCCAGCCTGAACAAAGGCCCCAATCCTCCTCTAGCATACCTGGAACCTGGGAAGAATAGCAAGGAAGCCAGTACAGTTAAGGTGGAATGGAATACTTTTCCAGCGATCACAATTACCTTATTCAGAAACAGGTTCTGATGAGTGGGATAATATTTGTAACCACCATATTTTTTGGTATTGAATGTCTGTCTTGATCAATTTTAGTTGAGCATCAGACAATTCTGTTGATGTTTGAATAAGATTAAACTTTCCCAATCAACTGCAGTTTTTACCAGAGCTTTTTTACTATCAAATTGATGAGGTGAGAAGGAAATAGAAACTATTTCCTACCAACAGATGTAGTGGGAGTTGCAGCTGGTTCTTTTTGAGCATTGTTTCTTTTGCATATATTTCCTATGTAACGCAGATATCTTACCCAGTTGTATGTATAACAAATTTATGTAAAACTGAGAGCATAATATTTTTGGGAAAGAAAGGTGCAGTTTTGTGCTTGATTTGTTTTTGAAGGGTTTCTGATAGTTGGTTCGGAACTAATAGGAAGGAAGCTAAGTGTCTACATTACATGCCAGCTACTGTATTAAGAACTTCATGTGTATTTAAATCTACATAACCACATAGTCACAATCACCTTTCAAAGTAAATATTATCTTCCCTCTCTCCCCCTTTTTTTGGTCTGCGAAGTCATAAAACTCTTACACATCAAGAGATGAAGATTAGCTAAAACAATTTTGAAAAAGAATAAAGTAGGAGGATGAGTCTACTTGATTTCAAGCCTTAATGTATAGCTACAGTAATCAATGGAGAAAGATAACCTTTTTGGCAAATTGTGTTGGGGCAATAGGACATCCATTGGTCAATAGGTAAATAAACTTCAATCTATCTCTTACACCTTTTGGAAAAATTAAATTAAAATGACTATAAATTTCAATGAAAGCATACAATTATTACCAAAATATAAGAGAAAAAAAACTGCAGGATATAGGAGTAGGCAAAGAATTCCTAGAGTTGATATCAAAAGCATGATCCATAAAAGTAAAACTTGGTAAGTTTTAACCAGCAATTGCACTCTTGGGGCATTTTTCCCAGGTAAATGAAAATTTATTTTCAAGCAAAAACCTCTTCATGATACAGCCTTATTCATTATAGCCCATCGGAAACAAACAAGCAGATGTTCTTGAACAGTTGTGTGGTTACAATTCATGCAGTAGACCTGGATAAATCTCCAGAGAATTACACTGGCCTCGCAAAAAGCCAATACCAAAAGGTTACATATGGTAAGATTTCATTTCTATAACATTCTTGAGGTAACAAAGTTATAGAAGTGGAACACAGATTAGTAGTTGGTAGAGATTAAGGAGTAGGTGAGGTGGGAAGGAAGTGAGAATTCCTATAAAAGAGCAACATAAGGGATTCTCCTGGTAATGGAAATGTTCTCTATCTTAACTGTATCAATGTCAATCCTGGTGTATTACTTTGCTATAGTTCTGCAAGATGTTCCTGGAAATTGGGTGAAAGGTGTAGGAGATTTAGCTGTATTATTCTTGCAAAAGCTTGTTAATATATAATTATCTTAAAATAAAGTTTTAATTAAAAAATAAAAGCAAATGAGGTA